CCCTTGCCATGTCTCAAGGTATGTTTTGTCTTTCGCATTCTATTATGGCTTTTTGTTTTGGTTGGCATGTGTGTTTTTATGCAGCATTGTTGTTATGTTTGTGTCGGATTGTTTTTCCTGTCCTTTGTGCTGTGTGTTGGTTATTATGTTGTACTCTGAATGCCTTGTTGCATATTGGTTTCCCTGTTGCGTTCTAAACGTTTTGTTATGTTTTGGATTGTCATGTTGTATCCTAGATGCCCCCATTGCGGAGTGCTGAGTATTTATGTAACTTGCTCTTGTAGACACTACTAGGTCACTAAGGTCACATGTTGCACTCAGTTCTTCCTTTATTATAGAGCGTATTAAGTAAAATGCCTCAAGGGCTGGGGAGGATGTTTCTAAGAAGAGTCATGTCGTTAAGAAGGCTCAAATTCCCCCTCCTTCTCGTGCGTCAAGAGCCAAGAGGAAGCTGGGAGTCCTTGTTGATCTTGAAGCTAAAGGTTTTTCCTACGATGCTCTAGCTCCTTATGTGGATAACTTGTTGTTCCCTTCCTTCAAGGAGCGCCAATCATCGCAGACTTTTTCTAACCTTTCTCTGGAGGCTGTTGTGAATTCTTTCCAAGTATGGTATACTCCCAAAAAATTTTCTTAAAAATGAATAGCTTCTGTATGATCTTTACTGATGTACTTGTGTTTTGCAGTGCTTTCAGTCTTGCTTGGGAGTGCTAAGCAAAGTGTCGGAGTTCACTAGGGTAGCGTGACTCTTTGTTAGACAGGCTCAAGGCAACGTCTGATGCTTTAAAGGAGGAGCGTGCTAAGCATAAGGACTGCCGTTCTGAACTCGATCAGGTGAAGAGTACCTTGAAGGCTGCTGCAAATGAGTCTCTTAATATGGCTAGCTATTATCTTGGCAAGGCTTGATTAGAGATCATGGAGGAGTTTCAGCAAGGTAAGCATGAGGCTTGGGATTAAGATGCTGAGAGGCTGCTTATGAGAAATCCTTCCCTAAAACTGCTGCTCCAGGCTTACTCCTGCTGAGCTAAGCTGATGAAGAGGTAAACTCCCTAGTGAATGGTAATGTTAAAGCTGCTCCTAAAGAAGAGAAGGCCCCTGCTGACAAGATTGGGGAGAATTAGTCTAGTAGTGTTATTTCCTTAGTTATTTCTGAACAATTTGTTTTTTATTTTAAAGTGTTTGTAATATTGCTGCCTTAGTGCAACTCGATGTTTTCTTTTTTGCTTTTTGTGCCTTTGTGCAGCAGTATATTTTGTGTTTTTATTGCCTTGCGCAACTAGGTAATTTATGCTTTATGCTTGTTAACCCTATTGTTTGTGGTGCTTGAAATGTATCCCAGTTGTATCACAGTTGCATTACAGTTGTATTACAGATGTATTGCAAATGGGATGCAGTATTACTTAAATGTCCTTCTTGCTGTAGTTTGGGAGTTATGTGTTCTTTGCTTTGCAGGGAAGTTCCTACGCGTTGTTGTACTTTGTTTTGTGATCGTATGCTTGCAAAATAGGGAAAGGTTAGGGGTGGCCGTGGGTTTCCCCAACGGCCCTCCGATGCTTAAGTTAGTACTCGCAGTTCAAAATAAACGTAATTGACTAAGTATTGGGAAAATGATAGCACCTTTCTTGCGTTGTAGCTAGAACTTCTTCTTAGGTAGGTTTCCTTTCTGAGACATGCTTGTTTAGAAATACAAGGGGAGAGATTTCATACCTTTCTCGAGTCTTGGCTGTCTGTAGTTAGGTTTCTTGCATACCTTAGAAATGATAAAGCGATAAGTGTGTTGTATTCCAGCTTCGTTGGACCTCTTTCCTTTTTGCATTCCTTAGTCTGTATGCTCCATTTCCCCCACTACCTTTGTGATCTTGTATGGCCCTTCCCAGTTTGGTGCTAATTTCCCAGCATTCACCTCTGTTGTGTTCTCGTATACCTTTCTGGGGACCCAATGTCCTACCTTGAAGACCTTGATTCTTACATTCTTGTTGAAACTTCTTGCAACTTCCTGCTGATAAGCTGCCATTCTCATCTTAGCATCATCTTTGATTTCTTCAACCATGTCTAGGTTTTGTATGCTAGCTCGGATTGGTTTTTATCTTCTGTCATCAGCCCAAATCTTGCAGTTGTGACTTCCACCTCAGTGGGGATTATCGCTTCACATCCGTACACTAGTGAAAAGGGTGTATGTCCTGTTGCGCCTTTTGGTGTTGTTCTATCTACCCACAGTATGTTGGGTAGTTTGTCTGCCCATTTCCTTTTTATACCTTCTAATCTTTTCTTCATGTTGTTGACAAGGACTTTGTTGCTCAACTCTGCTTGTCTGTTTGCTTGAGGGTACCTTGGTGTGGATACGATGAGTGATATGTTCCATTCCTTGCAAAATTTTTATGGTTTTCTTGCTAATGAATTGAGATCCATTGTTAGTAATGATTTGTGATGGTACGCCAAATCTGCACAGTATGTTCCTTTTGATGAATGAAATGACGTGTTTGTCCTTGATGTCCGTGTATGCTTCGGCCTCTATCCACTCGAGAAGTAGTCTGTCATTGCCAGAAAGTATACTCTTTGTCCTAATGAGGGAGGTAACTTGACTATATCCATTCCCCATTTCATAAATGGCCATGGTGTCCGTGTTGGATGCAGTTCTTCAGATGGTTGATGAGTCAATGGTGCGTATTTCTAACATGCTAGGCACTTCTTAATGAACTCTGTTGTGTCCTTTCTCATGTTGGGTCAATAATACCCTATTCAGAGAGCTCTGTTGGCTAAATTTCTTCCTCTTGAATGATTTTCGCATTCCCCACTGTGTAAAGATTGTAAGACCTGTTACACTTCTTGTATGGACCAGCTGCTGACTTTTTAAAGAATACGTTGTTGATTACGCAATACTTGAACGCTTTCATGATGAATGCATGTGTAGCTACTTTCCCTTTTGGTGTTACTTTGTCACTGAGAAAATCTTTGAAGGGTTTTGTCTAGCTGTCTTCTTCATCAGTATGGTTTGCTTGGCTTCATAGATGCTCATGGTTGATTCCTTCTCTATGGCTGGAGACATGATGTGTACCAATGGTATTGCTCTAAACTCATCAGGATTGATATTGGATCCAAGGTTAGATAGTGCATTTGCTTCGGTGTTCAAGTTTCTAGGTACTTGTGCAATTTTAAATTCTTTGAATTCCTTTGTGAGGTTCCTTACTACCTCTAGATATGCAACCATCTTTGCATATTTTGCTGCATATTCACCGTTAATTTGGTTTACAATGAGTAAAGAGTTAGAGATTACCTCTAGGTGCTTTATCTTCATATCTTTGGCAATGGTTAACCCTGTGATTAATGCCTTGACTCTGCCTCATTGTTGGTAGCTTTGAAATTACACCTTACAACTTGGGCATTTTTGTCTCCTCGGGGGGAAGTTATCACTATACCCAAGCCTACACCTCTTATGTTTGCTGCACCATTTGTATGAAGCCTCCATTTTTGCATGGCGTTGGGCTCTTGGAGGGACAATACTTCTTTCTGTGCTTCTTCCTCAAGGGCTGGACTGAAATTTGCCACGAAATCTGCCAAGGCTTGTGACTGGATTGCAGTTCTAGGCTCGTATTGAATATCATACTTACTGAGATGGATCATCCATTTTCCATCCTCCCTGACATTTTTGGTTTTCTCATGAAAGCCTTAATAGGGTAATTAGTACGCACACATATAACATGACTTTCAAAGTATGGGCGTAACTTAATTGAAGCAGTGACTAAGGCTAAATATGATATTTTCTAGGGAAGCGTACATGGTTTCCGCACTGTGTAAGATTTTACTTACGTAATAGATTGGAAACTGCTCCTTGTCTGCTTCTTTAGTGAGGACTGCACTGATCGTCCCTTTTGATACTTCTAAGTACAGCTCGAGTGGCTCTCCTTCTTTTAGCTTGGAAAGTATTAAAGGATTTGCTAAGTATTCCTTTAGCTTTTGGAATTCTTCCTCATGCTCTTGCTCCCATTTGAATTCCTTGTTCTTCTTAAGTACGTCGTAGAAGACTTTGTTCTTGTCTGATGACTTGGAGATGAACCTATTCAGTGCTGCTATTCTTCCTGTAAGGGTTTGTATGTCCTTCTTTGATTTTGGTCCGTTTCAAGTCGAGTATGGCCTTGACTTGCTCTAGGCCGACTTCTATTCCTCGCTATGTTACCATGTAGCCTAAGAATTTGCCTGACTGTTCTCCAAATGTACACTTGGTGGGATTCAACTTCATGCCGTATTGTTTCAGGATGGAAAAGGCTTCCTTGAGATCTTTGACGTGCTCTATTGCTTTCTTGGACTTCACCACCATGTAATCTATGTATACTTCCATTGGTTTCCGATCTATTTTTTGAACATCTTGTTGACCAATCTATGGTATGTTACTCTTTCAGTCCGAAAAGCATTAACTTGTAGCAATATATTCCTCGGCTAGTTATGAAGGCTGTCTTTTCTTGGTCATCCTTGTGCATGAGAATCTGGTTGTATCCACTATATGCATCCATGAAGGAAAGTAACTCGTTCCCTACTGTAGCATCTACCATGGTGTCGATGTGAGGGATTGGGAATGGATCCTTTGGGCAGGCGTTATTGATGTCTGTGAAATCGATGCATATTCTCCCCTTCCCATTTTTCTTTCTGACTACCACCACGTTGACTAACCAGTCTGGGAACTTAACCTCTCTAATCTTTCTCGTTTTGAGCAAATTTTGAACTTCTTTGTTAATTACTTTGTTCCTTTCTGGTGCAAACTTCCTTCTTTTTTGCTTTACTAGCGTGTGCTTTGGCTCTACGTTTAGCTTGTGTGTAATTACTTCTGGGGGAATTCCCTTCATGTCTGATTGCTATGCTGACCCTTTCTCTGCAGATGTTGCTTTCAAGGCTATCTTGTAGCATTCTTTGGCTTCCTTTGGGTCTCCCTTGATTTCTTAGATTCCCCATTTGGTGGGAAATTTAATAATTTGATGATACATAGATGGGATGGCTTTCATTTCATGTATTCAATGTCTGCCCAGAATTATATTATAGGATGATAGAGTATCGATCACTAGGAACTTCACTTGCAGATTGATCCCTTTTGCATAGGTAGGCAATGTAATCTCTCTAATGGTCTTCTTAGTTTCTCCACTGAATCCGACTAACATTGTTGACTTGTTGATGATGTCTTTCTCATTAATGTTCATATGTTTCACTGTATCGAGCATAATGATGTTAACCGAACTTCCATTATCAACCAGGATCCTTTTGATTAAGCAAATCCCAATTGGGAGTGATATTACTAGGCCATCATGGTGCTCTTCTACTGCATCGCTTTCTTCAAATATGATTGGAACATATATCATTGCTTGTGGCTTCTTGGTCGGCTTGTTCATGTTGCTTTCGTTGGCGAGACGCTTTGCTGCTGAGTACGTCAGGCTGCACACTTCTGATCCTCTACAGATGAAATTGATGGTTTTAATGATTGGAGGAGGAGGCGGGGGTCCACCTTAATTAGACTCTCTTTCTCTGCCTACGGCTTTGGATATATGTCCGTCATGAGTTCCTTAAGATATCCCTTCTTCAGCAGGTAGGCAACCTCCTTTCTGAGCGCTACGCATTCATCAATAGTGTTACCAATGTCTGAATGGAAGTCACACTACCTCAATGGATCCTTCTTTCCTCCTAACCTATCGCTCTTCCTGGGCTATTACACAGTATCTCCCATTTTGTTTAGGGTCCTAATCACACCTGCATGGTTAACATTGAAACAATATTCATGCAATTTAGGGGGGAGTTCAGAATCTTCCCTCCAATCTGTGATTTCTCCCTTGACAGCATTGAATGTTCCCGCTTCAAAGCGGGATCGCTGATAAGGCTTGAATCTATGATCCCTTATGGGAAAATTGTTGCTCCTTTTTTATGAACCATCTGGCTCGGGAGTCTTCCTTGCATAGACATCTTCTTCAAACTTGACTTGGGCCATTGCTTTGGCTTGAACATCTTCGAAAGTTGTGCAGGGATACTTGGTCAGTTCCTTATAGAGCTCGCTATGGTCCAACAGTCCTCTTCTGAATGCTTCAATAGTTATGGGAGCATCGCATTTATGTATTCCAATCTTCTGCCTGTTGAACCTGTTAAGGTAATCTCTCAAAGATTCTCCATGCCTTTGCACGACTTTGTACAGATCTGAAGATTGCTTCTTGATCTTTCGACTGTTAGTGAACTGGATTTTGAATAGGTTGACCATTCCTGCAAAAGATCGAATAGTCACATTATCTAAATTAATGAACCAAGTTAGAGCTGGACCTGACACGGTGGCTCCAAAGCCTTTGCACATGATTGCCTTTCTAATATTTCTAGGGATAGAGCTGGTCATCATTTTTTGCTTGTAGAGGGACACGTGCTCATCAGGATTTGTTGTTCCATCGTACATGGCCATACTAGGCGTGCTGAACCTTTTTGGCACTTTTACCATGGTAATCTCTCTGAGAAGGGTGACTCTATGTAGCCATCTGCGGCTTCTTCTTCCTTGGGATTTGGCACTCTAGAGATTTTTGCAATCTTGGCCTCGAACGCCTTGAGGTATTCTTTGACCACCTTTTCTATCTTTCCTTCCTCAGTTCCTGCCTGCTTGCTCCTTCGAAAAGTACCTGCATCAATAAAACCTTCGTCCAGAGTTGCATCCATGTTGTTAGAACCTTTTTCCCCATTAGTAGGGATATGGAAAGCTCTTGATAGATCTAGCTACATGGCTATGCTTTCGGTATTCTTTCTGCAATTGACTGTTTTGGATGCAACTAGCTGTATTTGGTTGCGAAAGGCTTCATTTTGTTTGGTTAGGCTAGTGAGTTTAGCTTCAATTTGGACTTTTTGGGCAACAGTGTCTCGATCTGGCTTTATAGGGAATTTTTCAAAACTCAACTTTTGGGCAATAGTGCTGTCGCTCAGCGATGGTTTTGGAAGATAGAATTCGTATGGAATTTTTTTTCCAATCGGATTGGGTTAACCAAAAATCCGTACATATTTTATTTTGACCGGAATTAGGATCATTGAAAAACAGATGTTTTATCCGATGTAAAATTCTTAAATCTTTATCTTTTTTAAAACAGGATAAATTAAAACCTTCTAAAGGATTCTAGAAGCTCACAATATATCTTAATTGGTTTAGGAATGAGGTTAAGGTAAATGGACCCTCTACATGATCATTGGACCGCATGAAAGGCTTGGTTCAGGCTCGGTTTAGTATTTTGGCGATAACTTCTTCGTTATAAGCCGGATTTGAGCTTATAATATGTCGTTAGAAAGCTCTTTTCAAGCCCCATCCAATTACACAGTTATTGGACCGAGATGATGGACCAAAATAGACTGGTTTGGACGTCTTTATAAAGAGGACACAAAATGAATGATTTTCAAAGACACAAAATGAATGAATTTGGCTTAAAACATTTAAGGAAAGGTTAGAAATGGTCAAATCTTCACCTAACTCGATAATCAAAGACGCGAAAGGTACTCATCACTAGGTTTGGTTTTTAGGGAGACACAATCAGGTGTCTACAGAAGCCTCCACTTTGACTTAGTTTGGAGAAACGTAAGTTTCAAAAATAAAAGTCAAAGTAAGATCGATGGGGACGGAGAATGATTCAGAACGTTCTGCGATCGAAAATCATTTTTTTTAACGCCGATACTTGCAGAAAACGTCAGTTCTACAAATAAAGGAGTTAAAGAAAAGTAACGCGTATCTTGCATCGTCGGGTACACGCCTTTGGGTGACATCTCGTCGGATCAAATTTGTTTTGTTTCATAGCCTCCACAATCTTAGGGAACGCCGTGGAAGATCTCCACATCTCGCGCCATCTTGTCAAATAAAGTGACAACCTCCTCAATCTTATGGAGCACTGTCGAAGACTGCTACATCTCGTGTCGTCTTCTCAAATCAGGTGACAACCTCCTCAATCTCAGGGAGCGCTATTGAAGACCGCCTTATCTGGAGTCATCTTCAAAAATCAAGTGACAACCTCTGCAATCTTAGGGAATGCTGTCTAAGACCACCTCATCTCGAGTCGTCTTCAAAAACCTTCTCACCTTCACATCTCGGAAGTGATAATCTCTTAACGTAAAAATCTTCCATCCTAGGAATTCCTTGTGATCATAATCAATTACTTCTCAATCAACCATCCAAATGTGCTCAATCAATACTCAAATATGTTCAATTCTCAAATGTGTAATATGATCATCAGCTGATCATCAATCAAAATTGTAACCGGGTTGATAACTAATCAAATTAAATCAAATATTTATCAATTAAGGCTTAATGGTGCATCAAAAAGCTCGAATGGATAAATATGGACCACAAAATCAAGTTGTAGGTCCCTCAAAAGCTGACGCGGGCGGAAATCAGAACCTTCGCGTGGCGACAGGTTTGTCGAGCTGCGATAAATTCGCATTTCGCGAATTTAAACTCCGTCTTCTTCATTTTCGCTACTGCTGCTCTTCTTTGCTCGCAACGTCGCGGAACTTCAAAGCACTTAGTCTTGGTCGTTTCTCAACCAAATTCGTTCTAACTTTTTTCAAGTCGTTGCATTTTCACTCACCTACACCGGTCTATGTAAGTTTTGCTCAATCCCTTCTTAATTTGGATGAATTTTGAGCATTTTCTTTGCGAATTTTCAGAAAATCCGAAAATATATCTTTGTTGTTTGCTCAATTTTGGTCGAAATTCTTGCCATGAAATTGCTTGTATGTGTTTGTGTGTTGCTTTGTGAACATTTTGAGACTAAAATTACTTGATTTGATGAAGAAACGAGCATTTTACCATTGTTGAACACTCTAGGTTCAAGAGTATAATGTGGCTTGTTCTACATGATTTTTCTTGCTCTTTGTGTTTAATTTGTTGCAATATTTGTTATAGACTTGCAGGGAATTGTTTTGGTGCTCAAAATTCTTGTTGTTGTGCGAATCAAAATCATGCTCTGTTTTCAATTTTTTGTACCCTATTTTTTACGAACATAGTATCATGCAGCTAGGCGAACTTAGATACTATAGAACCTTTAATTTACTGTTTTTTATGGCAACAATAAATAGTATGGCCCGACTTTGAGGCTCCAACTCACGTTCCCGCTCGTCTCACCGAGAGGACGAGCCTGTAGGAGATGGAGACGACGCTTCTACTAACCGGACGTGGTCTCTCCCTTATTGGGTTTAGTAAACCCTTGCTTTTCAGCTGGTTCACCACATCTCCCAGCGGGTTTTGCTTGGTCTTGTTGAGGAGCATGTGTGTTGCCATGGTTCAGGCAACGACACCATTTTGTCCATGTACCGCTAACACATTGTTGGCAATGAGGCGGTGAGAGCGCTTTGGGGGTCCTGTGGGTTGACTCCCCTTCTTCGAATTGTTGCGGCTTTCCAATCTTTTCGGGAGAGCCGTTTCATTGTTCGGGGTGCCCTAGAAATCTTCTGGGACATGCTAAGAAGGCTATTGATTATCTTATTGATGTGTTCAACCTTGAAATAGTGGATGCCAATTATAGTGAAACTACTTGTAGGTTTGATGTTATGTTGTCTTCTTTAGAGAAGGAGATTTATTTAAATGTAAAGGAACGTGAGTTAGGAATTAAAGAGCAATTGGAACCTTCTTCAGTTCTTGTTGAGCAAGATTGTGTGGTTGAGGTTGGGAAGGAGTTTCAGGTTCAATTGCCTATTCCACCTATCATAACTTTCAATTAGATTGATCTACGATTTCAAGTTGCAGAATCATCTATTGTTGTTGATTCTTACAGTGAAGTGTTTTTAGAAGGTTTACATGGTCGTTTCAAGCGTATAAGATTATTAAAAGACTAGATATTTTTAGTTTGAAATTGGGTTATAGGAGTATTGTCTATGTACAGCTTAGCTCTTTTGCCTTTTGCTTTTTGTAAGTTAGTTTCTTCTCCTATAGAAATGTATTGTAATGTTGTAGTTGTTAGTTTAAGTGATGCTTGTGTATTAAATTCTGTTTTAAAAATTGATAGGAGCACAAATTTAGATGTAAGACTATGTAATTGTTGTAATGGATTTAATATATCCTATGGTAATGAATTTGTGGTATTTTATTTTGGTAAAATAATAATTTCATATTAGCTTTTGTTTTTTTGAAGTTTTTTTATTGAAATTTGTAGTTTGTCATCTGTTCTTATTTAGACAAAGGTTAAAAAGATTTTAACTTATTGTCTGTTTTTTAATAAGAATTTAGGTGTCTGAAATCAAGAGTTTTGTGTAATAGATTAATTAATTATTCGAAATAACCGGAATTACAAGGAGAAAGTATCGTGGAATTTTCAAAGTGTTAGAATATATGGGTGAGTCTTATCAAGCATTTATAGTTTTA